TTCTTCATGTGAAACTCTTCTGTGGGGCTGCCATTCACTAACACTGAAACAGTTGCAGTAGATAAACATTCTCTAATCCACATCCTCCATTTTCTGCATAAACCAAACTTTTCCATCATTCTATTCAAAAAATCCCAATTAACACTATCATATGCTTTTTCAAAATCAGCTTTGAATATCAGGGTCGATCTTTTTCGCCTTTTTGCCTCATGGATCACTTCATTTGCAACCACAATCCCATCAGCAATTTGTCTTCCTCCAATGAACGCAGATTGGTTCAAATTTATTATTGATGGCAACACTTTGCTCAACCTATTAGCCAGAATCTTGGAGATAATCTTGTACATACACCCAATGAGGGAGATGGGCCTGAATTCTCCAAGTCCTTGAGGATTCTCCTTTTTCGGAATTAGTACGATGAAGGACGCGTTACTTCTCTTTACAAGTTTTCCATTCGCCCAAAACTCTTTGGCGAAGGCAACAATGTCTTCTTTTAGGATTGGCCACATATTCTTGATGAATGCAAAATTAAAACCATCTGGACCTGGGCTTTTATTCCCATTGCAGCATTGAATCGCCTCATAGATTTCTTCTTCTGAAAATTCTGAGATCAAACTGTTGTTTTCCTCTGTACATAACTGGTTGAGATTCTTCAATTCTATATCTGGTCTATCCCATTCCTCCTCATCGAACTTTCTCTCAAAATATTCCTTAATGAAGCCTTTTACCTCAGGGACGTCCTCAATCCACTCGTTGTTCTTTCTGATTCCATTTAAGCCGTTCAGCTTCCTCCTTCGAATGATGCAGCCATGGAAGTACTTGCTGTTAGCATCTCCTTCTTGTAGCCATTTTTGTCTTGACTTTTGAAACAATATACTATCTCGAGCTCTGCTCCATTCCCAAACTTCTTGAAAACAAGCCTTTCTCTTTTCTAATTCAATTTCTGTTAAGTCCCTTGAGTCCACTTTCTCATCCAATCTCTTAATCTCAATTCGGGCCTCTTCAATTTTTTTATCAACATGTCCAAACACCTCCCTGTTCCATTTCTTGAGATCATTCTTCAACCTTTTCAATTTCTCTTTTAATCTGAACCCACCCCATCCATTAATATTGTAGTTGTTCCACTTCTCCTGGATGAATGCCTTAAACTCTTTGTGTTCCATCCAGCAATCTAGGCTCCGGAAAGGTCTAGGACCCCAGTCCTTGGAGGAATTAACTAACATAATTGGACTGTGATCCGAAAGATCTCTCATAAGGCCTTTTTGAGTAAGCTCTGGGAAATTAATCAAGAAGTCTGTTGACACCAGGAACCTGTCAAGTCT